TTATTATTATTATCATCATCATCATCATCATCATCATCATCATCATCATCATCATCATCATCATCATAGAAGAGATAATGTCCACTGAAAATCCAGCCTGTTACTGAGGTTGAAGAAGAACGACTAAGAGACATCTGTATCTCAGTTTAATAAGCTGAGACAAAATGAGACTTCAGGGCATGTACAGAAGGCCTTTCCTCCTCCTCCTCCTCCTTTACGGTTGCAACGAACACTCGAGGAGGACTTCCGTGGTATCCCATTTCATCCAAAGCAGAGGAGGGAAAAAGGGGGAACTGAATGTTTATGACTTGTGACATCCGTGTTAAAAAGCCAGATTAAAAAAAAAACAAGAAATGTATATGGTGATGATGATTATGATGATGATGATGTGCCATCAATTTTGACATGTTGACCCTTTCCAGAGTTTCCCAGATAGAGAAGACTCAGAAGTGCTTTACCCTTCCCTTCCTCTGGGGGCAGCCTTGGGACGGCGCAGCTTGCCCAAGGCCACCCAGGCTGGCTCTTCTTCCAGGAGGCCCAGTGCAGGATTTGAACCTCTGATTCTGCACAGAGATGGCCTGAACCCAATCTCTCTCCCTTCCTCTCTTTCTCCTTTCTCTGTCTCTCTCCCTTTTTATTACTTTTCCCAGCTGCAGAAACCCAACCTTGACTGGGAAGTGGTGAAGGACGAGAGGGCTCGGCTGTGGGTACTGGAGACTCGGAGGCCCCAAAGCATGAAGGGGGCACCCCCAGCGGAAGAGGTGACACCCAGCTTACAAAGCCCAGTGGAAAACAAAGCCCTTGGGAAACCAGCCAGGGCAGGAATCGGCAGCAGAGCTGGCTGGGGACTGAGAATGGAGAAGACTGCCCCTTCCATGCTGCGGGCTGAAGTTTTGCCAGCAGGGAAACCGAGCAGAAAGGGGATCTTGGTATGTTTTTTGGGAGGGTCCCAAATACCTGTGAGCACTATACAAGTGGTGCCTCGCTAGACGATGATAATCTGTTCCATTGAAATCGCTGTTTAGTGAAATCATCGTCTAGCGAAAAGCATTTCCCCATTGGAATGCATTGAAACCTGATCAGCAAGGAACTCAGGGGTCAACCCCACACACTCCTTCTAGCAGTAAATCACATTTACTCAGATACAGGAGGGGCCCCCCATCCATGGGATCGGTATCCGCTGATTCCCTTATCCATAGGCTGAAAATATTAAAAATATTAAAAGAAAAATTCTATAAATGTATAGTATATTTTTAAAGGTGAAGTGACCAGAACTGGCCACTAGAAGGTTCCAGAGGCCCTGCAATATGGTTTGCTATTAAAATACTCTAGTGTTTGCTGTAATCTGTGTTTTTCAGCTATCATGGGGTGGGGGGCTTGGAACCCCCTTGCAGATCTGGGGCTCCTACTCTACTTGCAAATGAAGGCTATGTTTACATCCAAGACACCCATCACAAAACAAAGCGAGCTAATTTACAGATGCCATGAGATGTAGAAAGCTTCTGTTGTGCCAATCAAACCCTTTCAAGTGCTTAAGGAAGGAACTCTTCTAGTTACATGCTCCTTGTAATATATAGATTGACAATCTCTCTCTCTCTCACCCATCCCCTTCTCTCACCCTAGGTCTCTCCACAGCGTTTCCGGCCTCTGACCGCTCTCTATTTCCTTCTCTTCCTGCTTGTGATGGGTTTTGCTTGCTGGTTTGTTTGGAAACACGGAATTCCCGGGGCTTGGACGGGGCTGATGGGATATGGGCAGTGGAAGCTGAGCAGTTTTCCAAGCCTGTGGAGTGAGACAGAGGAGTGCAGTAATCAGTGCAGGTAAGGGCTGCACGTGATTTATTTATACAGGCAATGGACGGTGTGGGGAATATGTTGTCCTCCTGGGTGTTGTTGGACTACAGCTTCCATCATCCGCAGCCAGCATGGTCATATATCTAAAAACAAGTAGACCAAGGAAGCCTGGGTTACAGGATAAAGGAGATTTATGGAGAGGGGAGGCACTGCTTTCTTACAGGGATGGGAACTCAGGGGCCGCAACTCGCTGTCATGTCCGACTTAAAATTTGCGCCGGCGACTTGACTCGAACTCGGCTCAGGGGTGTCAGCGGGAATCGTGAGTCCCACTGTAGAGTCCTCATGGGCCCTCCCCTCCCTGCCAGCACCCTGTCGCCATCTTCAGAGGCACACACCCCCTGCCACCCCGCTAGGAGGCCAGCGCATGCACAGAGGCCGCGGGACAGTGTCCCTTCCTGGAGCCACCCCCCACCTCCATGCCTGCGAGCGGCGCGCACACCAGCCGGAGGAGCTGGGGTTCGAGTCC